AATACCAAGTTGTTGCGTTTGTGTAGCCAAACTTCAAAAAAAATCAAGTCGGTTCAGTCTTCAAAGTCGCCTCTCAAAAGCGCACGTGATCAGTTCATCTAGTTCATGCGTTGATACTTCTGACTCGAAACACAGCGCGCAGCTACTGTCAACCGTAGTTACAACGAAACTTCTTCCAAGAAACTGCGGGCAGAAAAGCCTCATTGAGCTCCACATGTTGTTCTCAAAATGGATTTTCAGAAACCTTGTCGCGCTTTTCATTCCTTGTCGTTTTTGCAATGAGAAGAAGAGGTTCTTGCAATTCAGGTCCTGGGAAGACTGAACTTTAACTAGTGGGGTTGCTGTAGATCACCTCACCGTGCCGCACTAGGTGCACCGTCGTGCACCGTCCACCATTTCACACATTTTGTTGAACATCGTCTGAATGCATTCACCCTAGTAGGGATGGCCTCCACCCTAGCAATAGCCTCCATATGCATTCAAGGGGCTTTTGCAACTGTTCACGTGCTTCTGCTTCACCTCGTGTCGAGTCTCTTAGAGTCTCAACGTGGACGCCTGGCGGCACTCCCTGGGGCAGCCACTTTGCTGTGCCTCTAGCAGCTGCGCACGAAGCAGCTCTTCCTGCCGTAAGATGTGTCGCACGAAGAAGGTTTGTCCACGGCAGCCCAACGGCTACAGCCAGCTCTGTCATTTCTGAAACATGCTCTGAGGGTTTGCCAGCTCTGTGCGCACTGTTTCCTTTAAAAAAAACAGCTTTACAAATCACCCGCCAGCAAGACAGAGCTGCTTCCAGCCATGTCTAGTGGAGAGAACAACTCTTGCCAAACTGCGCATTGGAAACCAAGAGGAACTTTGACTTGCTGTGAGAGGAAACTACCACAGCTCATGACCAACACTTCTGTTCCTGCTCTATCTTCATCTAGTTTTACCTCCACACTCTGTTTTTTGTGAGTCAACCTGATGCCAGCGGCTTTGGCTAAACCCATGAAATTCGGAGCCACAATAGCTTGGAAAACTGAAACGACTGTGATCCAGAGGCAAACACTTACTAGTAGATTCTTGTTACTAGTAGCGATGGCCTCCAACCTACTTGCGATGGCCCTCCACCTAATCTTGTCCTCGCTACTAAGCAATCGGTGCCTCCAGGTGGGGAAAGACTCCTTGAAGAACTCTGGTCTTTTCTTCGTCCCAAACCCAGTAGCTACTCACGGCGTACTCCCCTAGAACATGTAAAAAATGGATTGTAAGAAGTTTTCTAAACTAATATCATAGCAGTATAACTCTAATATCATAGCAGTATAACAGATCATCTATTCATAAAATAATTATCCCGGCAAGAGACCCCAAACAGTGTGTGTGAGGTCTGTAAGCAGAAAGTCTAGAGATCTAGACGCATTGGGGTCCAGAGAGGTGATGGTGAGGGAGTGTGAGTGGGAGAGTGAGTGTGAGTGCGAGTGTGAGTGAGAGCGAGTGTGGGTGAGAGTGAGAGTGAGAGTGAGTGAATGAGAGTGAGTGTGAGTGTGAGTGAGAGTGAAGGTGGTTTCGAGTGAGTGAGTGCGAGTGCGCTTGATTGCCTCACCTTTGAGACACGTTTTCCCCAAAATTTTGCCTCCCAACACCAACACCGATCCTGGTTTTTGCATTGACAGCACCAAAGCCTGTATCGTAGCATCTCTGTCAACAACTTTGCTGGAATTCATGTGACTGTCTGCAAGCGCAACAAGGCTCTCCAAATAGGTCTGAGCATCAGTCTCGTTCCTACTGGCGGCTTTTTGCACCGCTACCCAAAAAACTGTTTGTTTCGCCCGCGTCAACACGAGGAGGTAGACCACGTAGCTTCACTGAACGCGGTGGATTTCTTGTTGTCTCTGTTGTCAAAAAGCATGCAACCACACTTGCCCAAAGGACAAATGCGAGTGCACCACGCCATTTGCGTGAGCAGGACATTTCATGAAATGTAGTCAAGTATTGGCCATCGCTAGTAGGTTGGAGGCCATCGCTATTAGGTTGGAGGCCATGGGGGGGCGGAAGCTTCCAAAAGGAGCTTCCCAACCCAGGACCTGAGGTATTGTCACATTGGGGTGGTATGTTTTCACTTGCGATGACGTGTGGTCCATGTTGTGATTCGTCAGGTGAAGTGTACTTCAAAAGAAACCGAGATTGCTCTTCTTGCCCAGTGTCAATTGCACAGTTCTTTCTGAAGGTCCGCTTGCCAGTAACTCCAAAAGTTCCTAATGCATTTCATGAAAAACAACTCTTCTCGAAGCGGGCTGGGAAAGGCTGGGAATGACCGCGAACGGAGGTGCTTTTCTGTAAGAAGCAACCATTAAGAATATCATTGGCATCCTGGCCTCACATGCAAATAATGTCCTCGTTGCGTGGGACAGGAGAAAAGTGCACAACATGATCAATGAGGCAGAAAGGTGTAAAAAGGAAAAAACACTCAGAGGCCATGGATTGATTATGTGTTTGAAGGAAAGTCGCCCCTTGCCACTAAAACCGTCTTGGAAGAAAAACAATGACAGCCTAAGCAATCTAAGCATGTTTGACTTCATTGAGTGCTTCATGTTTCATTAAGATTTGTCAGAGAATGTCTACAACAAAGTGTGTAACAGCTTCAAACACAACGTAGCTTTATTTTCTTTCAATGACTACATATGTTGTTGCCAAAAGTGCATTTTATCTGCTCCATGTTCTTTTGACTGTTCAGCCTTTTTCAGATCATATTTCTTATAACTTGGAGGCCATCGCTAGTAGGTTGGAGGCCATTCCTATTGGGTTGGACCTACAGGTTGGAAACCGTGACTATCGGCTTGTTTGGCATTCATCTGTTGGACGTTCGCAGGTGGGGGCACTTGTTACTAGAAGCGATGCACTTGTTCCTAGTAGCGAACCTTGTTACTACTAGTAAGGCACTTGTTACTAGAAGCGATGCACTTGTTCCTAATAGGAAACAGTGTTTTTACTATTTACAGTTTGTGTACTGTAATTTCCTAAATTGTTGCTTCGGTTTGCCAGTTTCGTCTCATCTCACAAGTTATTGTTGTAATGTCTCAAACAGTTTGGCTGTAATCTAGGAGTTTCTGCACGTAATTTCTCCAAACTTTAAGAGTTGCAAACGGACATGTTTTTGGTGTGTCCAAAAGAATTGTTGATGTGTGCCATACATGCCTTAGTTTCTTGTTAACGAACATATGGGATACTCTTACTATTGTAGGTCATATGTACAAGACCTGCGCTAAAAAAAAGGGTGGTCGGAGACAACATGTAAAAGAACGGAACATATCATGCGCAAATCACCCCACCTTATTAAACCGGAAAGAGTGACACGTACGTATTCTCACATGGATTGCCAGCAAATTAGTCTAACAATGAAAATCGCATCTAAAGCAGTTTATCAGAAAACACACGAATCCAATTCGTTTATAGAGAAAGCAAAATAGATGTTATTCACGAATAGTCTAAGCCGATCCATAGGGTAGCTCAGAGCGCTCAGTCAAGCGCTCGTCCTTGTGGAACACTTTTTGGTTCAACGCACCCTCTGGTGAGACAGTGAAACATTCAGCGCCCGGATTCTTCGACCAAGGCAGCAGGAGAAAACTGGTCACTAACGGTCAAACGGGCTTTCTCCGGACAGAAAAGCAAAGAGCAGCCGATCACCCCTTCCAGAAAGAATAGCGAAAGGAAGAAAGAACATGAAAAGCAAGAACGAAGTCAAATAGACATGGAAAAACACAAGTCAAACGTTCTATCTGGCCTCAAGAAATGGAAGGAAACACGGAAAAACAAGAAAGAAAGGTCTATAGAAAGAAGCGACACACACACACACACGGCTCTTTCCATCGTTTACCAATACGAAGCACTGACGTCTTTTCTCTTGAAAGGATCACTGTTTGCAAGAAGCATTTGAAAAGCATCCTATGAGAACATTCTTAGTATTCCGAGATTCCAATTCCTAGTTTTTCATTTGTACTTAATCTATGAATTACGAATACTAATTAGCACCTAATAAATTCAATTTGTGATTCCTCATTAGTACTCTTATTACCTCTAGGAGTCTTGAAAGCCCGTTTGGCGGAATCTGCCAGCCTCAGGTCTTGTTGCTGTCACCGGTGACTTCCGGAGGTTCCTCGAATTGAAATTATCAAATAGTTTTCTGCTTCATTATTTTTCTCTTTAGACGTTTTTGGCAATGTTTTTTCTTAAAGCCCACTCCTACTTAAATCAGTAGGTGCCTGCTTAATTAAGTAAGGCTAAGGCGACACTAGTTCGCTAGGAGGCTAAGTTAGCTTCTACTAACTGAACACAGGATAGCTCACGCTTCTTCAAGGAAGCTCCCCCGCCTGAGGGTGGGGGGAGCATGTTTGAAGAAGCGCTCGCACTAGTCATTTGGTTCCTAGATTTCTAGGGAAACTGAATCCTACAAAACCTGTTGCAGCCCTTCTGATTCCATGCAAACAAGAATGGTTTGATGTGCTTTTCTTTCCCTTCAGACCTTTCTTTCTTCCGAAGATTTGCAAAACGCTTCAATGCAGTTCGAGCTTGGAAAACCAACGGCAAAAACACATGTTCCAACAGTCGCTGTGCTCCTCCAGCCAGCAAACAAAGTTACCATGCTCCCATTGTGATTTTCTGGAAAGGCCTTGTCAGGCAGTGTCAAACGCCTCAATAATTTCTCACATGTTGAACTGATTGCTGAAGTGTTGGCAGTTTGACCCCTTTCGCAACAAGAGAGTGTGCTTCAAGGATAGTATCAAATGCCTTGCTGGTCGTAACAACTACTAGTACAACAGCCAACTTCTTCTCTTTCTCCAAAACCATCAGATGGTCTTGGCACAAAGCAATGGTGGGCACCCAAAGGGAAGGTCTCTACTTTTTTCTTGCACATCGACACCAGCCTTTTGCAGTGACGGCGATTCCAACTCCATGTTGGCGGCCACTGTCCCACTGTCCTGATGGGTTCAACGGTTCACCACTTTCGCGAGAAGTGAAGGACACGTCTAAACAAAGAACGTATGTACTGCGTTCTTAAACACTATTAAGTTGGAGGCCCTTTTGCTATCAGGTTGGAGGCCATCGCCAGTTGCGAAAAGAAGGCTCCCCAACTCGTCAAGTGGAAGAACAAAGCCAACTTTTGTTCTTCGCTGTATTTCACAGGGACATGGACGACAGTCGGCGGTGCCTGTGTAGGATCTACCATCCGGCCAAGAAAGCTTGCCTTCGCCATGCTTCTTGCCTGGAATGCCCATGAAACGATGAACATGGAGGCCATCGCTAGTAGGTTGGAGGCCATCGCTACTAATACCTTTGTCCGTGATGGACATGAACACGAACAGCTGGCACGCGCAAGTGACGCGGTGACTGGCCAGCTGGAGGACCAGAATGGCCAAAAGATTGTATGTGAAGATGGCTCAAACAGATCTCTTCCTTGTAATGAGCAGAAAACGGTTACTCTGGTTAGCTCTTGTTGCAAGACAAAGTACGGGAAACAAAGGAACAATCAATTGCTTAGGCCTTTAGTCTTCAGTCCATTTATGTCCATTCAACATGTTCCTCTCTAAGCCTTGCAAGCCCTATTACAAATCAAACATGCCAGCCGAACCATCCCTGAACTGGCCCTCATAACATCGCCCATCCGTCCACTTCATGGTGCCAAATGGGCCCATATGGTTCCTGACACAGCTTCTGCCTCCAACCTACTAGCGATGGAGCACAATTGTTTTCTCTCCAAATGTTTTATCTTGAAAGGGTAACGTTTCTTCAATGCACTTTGCAGGAACTAACATTTGGCTCTAAGTGAATACTTTGATTGAAGCTAAATATTGCAGCTCCATGTGCCACTCAGAAAAAAAATCAAATGCATCGGCTTCGTTTTCTTTTTAAGAACAATATTTGGCGCATTAACTCTGTCACATCTTCTTTCTTTCTCCCTTCACTTTGACTTTCACTTCCTTTCTTCTAGGAGCAAGGACGCTACGAACGGGGCTCCTGGCCTTACTACTAGGAGCAAGAAGCTATTATCTACTTCCTTTCTTCTTGTTTCTACTAGCTTCTTGTTACTACTGGTAAGGCACTTGTTACTACTAGCGATGCACTTGTTCCTAGTAGCGTCCTTGTTACTCTTCCTTTCTTGTTTCTGAGTTCTTCACTTTCATTTCAGTCCTGCGCCACTGCCCTGTATAACTTCGGCCGTCGCTCCACTGATACCGGCCCTCGCCGTGCATATCATTGGCATCAAAGTCGCCCTGCCAAAAGCAGTTCTGCCGTTTTTTTTGCCGTTTTTATGCGGCAAATCTGCGGATTTGAAGATAGGATGCTATTTATGTATATCTATCGGATCTATCTGGTACCCTTGTGGCAACAATGTTTATTGAATTCAAGCACTTTGCTCAACTATCAGGGGGAATGTACCAGGCATATCACCAACTGTGTGGTTTCACATCTGACTATTTGGATGAGCATCTGTATCTGCTGAACCAAGGACAAAGGAGTCAAACGAAGAACACAGACTTCCTATGATTAAGTGCGGCCCAAACAAACGCTAGGCTTGCTTTTTGGGGTTTTGCTCACTGCCATCAGTATCAAACAAAGCGTGTCCCTGCTTGCTTTCTGCTGTAATATTCCCTTCACTGGCAGGTTAGGTCAGCGATTTCTTTGGATACCAAATCCATGTAAGGATGCAAATACTATGCCTTTAAGCTAGGCGCTTTTTATACATTTGCATCTAATATCCTTTTCGGGCATCCTGCTGTATACTTTCTTGTTTTGAAACAAACACCAAAAGGAAACAACCACCAAACGGACGCCTGTTTAGCATTTCCTGTTTCTGCATAGAGTGGAAGAATCTTGGTTGGAATTCTGTGTATTTGACACTTTCCCATACAAAATGTCTATTTAATTGCATAGCTGAATCTGAGCAAAATACCTTCTTGTGTGGGTGCATTCTTGCAGCTTGACACTCACGATTTTAAAAACACAACTGCCTCCCACCTACTTTTATTCAAAAAACATTTGGTTACATGTCGGTGCAACTGTCTTTACTCAAGGCATTCTACCTGACAGCTGCGCTTTCTTCGTGTGAAAACACCCTCTCAGTTTGTATGGAATCGCACACATAAGACGAGAGATCTTCCTGGCGGGCAAGCAGGCATTATTCTTGAAACGAGCTTCGTTTGAAAGACAGTAATATATAATATTAGAACTTCTGAACAACAATCTTCGTTGAAGGTAAGTAGGTGTTTTTCTTAACAAGTGGGTTGGAGACGTGCAACAAATGGCATTCACCGGGCTAACATTGGCATCGAATAATGTAGCTCGAAGTAATATAATCACTGCGGCATAATACATTGTCTATAAGAATTGTTGTCAAGATGCACGCTTTACTGTTTAAACAAATCTGCAAAACAAGACTTCTGCAAAGATTGAAGGCTTTACTTGAACAAACATGCATAAGCAAAAATTCTACCCGTAACCAAAAAGTAGAGCAAGGCTGTCTTTTTTGATGCAATTGAGTTGGAGCTCACATTACAAGGGTCCTATTGTAGTCCATTAACATGTGTTGCAAGCCTTGAGTTTGTTATGCTTTGCTGTTGTTTCATGGATTTGATTTTGAGCAAGTAGTAGGCAAACGTGTTCATTTTACTTACAAGTTTGCTGCATTGTGAATGTCATTAGGACGAGGTTTCTACCTAACATTGCCAAGCATTGTATAAGGTAAACAGGGATACAATACAACTCTACTATTCAATGATGATATGGGGCTCATACTGGAGTGAGGTGCCTCCTTCCTATTTTCGCATGCCGAGACATTGCAGTGGGCTTGTGCCTGAATCCTAGGTGCCAGGGGGATGGCATAAAAAAAGAAAAACATATACAGTAGCTACATTGGGTCTATCCTATTACCTGTAACAGTGGATGATGGTTAGTAAAGGCCTTGTTCAAAAATAGTGACAATTGTTTACTGACTGATGATAGGACTGTTAGATACTGTTAGTAAAGGCCTTGGTAAGTTCGGACAGCTCCAATATCTATCAGGGATGATCGATTCCTTGCACTTCAGCGGCTGTGCCTCATAGGAACCACCTGTGTTCCAGGTGAATTTGCCCTTGCCGGACTTGTCGCCATTCTTGAACTGGCCCTGTCAACGGATTGAACACCGCTCCGAGACCTTTTTGAATTCTGAAACCGAGGTTGTCACTCAGGTCCACCGTAGCATGACTCTTCGGGAAATGCGGAAGATGAATCTCACAGTCTCATACATCTTGTCCGCACTCTCAACTTCATTCACTAGACTGGCCTCCACCGCCACTGCTTCTAGGTTGGAGGCCATCGCTTTTGAGTTTTTCTAAAAACTCCATGCTACTAGTAGTGTCCGATCGCTCCTAGTAGTAAGGCCAGGAGCTACTAGTAGCATCCTTGTTGGAGGCCTTTTCTGTCCAAAGTCCCAATCTCGGCGCTTGAGTCACCTCGAAGACTGAACCGTCCACAAGCTTCTCTACACCGTGGCCATCTTGAACCTGCGGAACCAAACGAAACAACACCAGGCAATTGACGGCAAAACCGCGCGGCAAAGGGCATCGCTACTAGGAACAAGGACGCTACTAGTTGCTCCTGGCCTGACTACTAAAAGGATGTTACTAGGGGCTCAGTAGAAATGAACGAAAGATCCAAACGAAGGATCCAAAAGTGACACATGGCGATGCTGGGGCGGTGGTTTCTGATGTGGTGACATGTGACGAAACATGATTAATGAAACACCCATTGGTGAGTGTCACTTTTGTGATGCAGCAAGTATCCTCCCACTGGTATCTGCAAGTCAACAACATAACATAACAATCGCTACTGCAGCATGATTGTTTTCTTCTAAGTTGGAGGCCATCGCTATTAGGTTGGAGGCCATCGCTAGTAGGTTGGAGGCCATCGCTAGTAGGTTCCTTTCGCTATTGTGTAAGCGCTTTCACGAGGTCACCAGATATTCAACCTCAACACGGAAATTGATCAGAGATGACATGGTGTTCATGTCAAGAAAAGGATTGCCAGGAGAAAAATTGAACTTGTTCAAGTGAGCCCTGCTTCAGTCTGAACAATCTATCGTGTGCATCAAAAATCGATAAACATCATGAGTGCAAGCGCAGTTAAATGCTGCGCAACTCAACGCTGTTGTCGGGTAGGCATTCTCTACTTCTCCACACTGCTCTTCAAACATAATCTCTCCTTAGGTTGGAGGCCATCGCTTGTAGGTTGGAGGCCATCGCTCTTAGGTTGAAGGCCATCGCTCTGAGGTTGGAGGCCATCGCTCTTAGGTTCCTTATGCCATTAGGTTGCTGGCCATTCCTCTTAGATTGGAGTCTAGAAATATCTACTGGTTCTACATTTCTCAACTCTTTCTCTAGTAAGTACACGACTCTGAACCTTTTCTCTGGTCTTGAAATGTTGAGGCTTTGCCTAAACCTGACATGCCATTGTGATTTAGATCGAGTTGTACACCTGAGGTTGCCCTGCCACGTTATGACACCGTGATATTCCCAGACCAAATTCTCCACATCGCCACCATCGCCACCAAACCCTCCAAACAACCTAACAGCCGGAGTCACCCCTCTCGGATGCACATGCAACTTTTATGTCGCATCTCTGGCGTCTCTCATTTCGTTCTTTTAGCTATCAATCAGGTTGGATGCCATTGGTAACAAGTGGCTAGAAGCTACTAGTAACAAAAAGCTACTAGGGGCTCCTGGCATCGCTACTAGGAGCAAGGACGCTACTAGGGGCTCCTGGCCTCACTACTAGTAACAAGAAGCCACTACTAGTAGCTCCTGGCATTACTACTAGTAGCTAGAAACTATTAGGTTGGAGGCCATAGGCCATTGCTGCTAGGTTTGGAGGCCATGTCGAAACATGAAAAAAACTACTGTGGATTGTGGTGTCTCTGTTTCAAAACCCAGGAAATCGGGACTTCTTGGGACACAATAGAATACAACTGAGCTGCCACTCAACAAACATTTCCCAAACCAATTTAACAAACCTCTCCTTCACAAGATATTGTGACCCTTGAAGCAACCTACATTCTCCTGCGGCATGCTTGCTGACCAATGACATTCTCTCATCGATTGTTACTGTGACAAACAAGATTGAACCCACGAACCCACATGCAAACGTGCAATCGAAAACACATGGCCAAATTTTGTTTGATACTCCTGTGGCACACTCTTGTAAGACACTCTTGTGGAAACTGTTCTGGGCACTCTTGTGCGACGCTCTTGTCGCGGAACACTCTTGTGGGACGCTCTTGTGGAAAGCTCTGGTGCGACACCTTTGTGGGGCACTCTTGCAGGACACGCTTGTGAAAAACTCTTGTGGGGCATTCTTGCTTCCTCCAAAAGTCACGCATCAAAGTCTCCAAAACGAGCGTTTCCTTTTCGAGACTTCCTCCCAAACTCACGCATCAAGTCTGCAAAGCGAGCATTTCGTACGAGACTTATTCCTTCAATCAGTGCAGCGGGAAGTCTCGAATCCCAATGTCACAGCCACACTCACCTCCACCAAACAACTCCCTTCACCTGCCACGAAAATTCAAATTCGACGCCTCCAACACTGCGCCTGCCACGAAAAGTGACGACGTGACATCTTCATGTAGTCAGCAAAGTTTGCACCACACCACATGCTTGGAATGATTTCGGCGCGTTCTGAGTACCTCAAAATTGCAAGCTTAGCTGAGACTTGTCGCCGAAACACGGCTTCGAGGCAATAACGCAAGCCCCAATGTCACAGCCACATCCAATACCCCCAAGACACCGCCCTCTAAACGCAAGTCCCAATCTGACTGCGAAGAAAACTGCAGATCTCACAAAACGGGCGCCTGCGGAGTAAAATCATCCTCCACACTTCATCCTGTTACGCTTCCACACGTTTCCTTGCTATTTCACACGAATCTGAGACGTCATGCTTCCATCCAAAACCTTCTCCAAAAGCTTCGCCCAATGTCAGCGCCGGTCTACCGCGAACGGTTGCGAACGCTACGACCACGAGTCGCGAAGAAGACCCCAGACCCGCAGAGTTCAACGAGGACCCTTCGCTACGCATTAACAACTACCCGCTAGGCCTCCATTTTCCATTGCCCTTCGTAGGTGGAACCATTGCTGTAGGTGTACCTGGTGTGATTTCTTTTGCCAATCAGTCTGCCTCAAGCCAACAGCCTTTTGAGGTTCTGGCTTTCCAACACCATGCTTTCGGTCGGACTCAAACTGCCCCTCATATTTGGAGCCATCTGCGAAGATCAACTTGCCCTTGACAGGAGAGTTCAGAAAAGGCTTCAAACACTTGTTGGATCGTTTCTCTTCAAGTTTCGTCACTCAGAGCCTCCCCATGTTTGTCTTCTCCACGCCATTGTCCTTCCTGAAAAGTGCCAAAACAAAAAACGCTGTTTCTTTTGGAAAAACCACACACGAAAAGTTCAAAACCCAGGATGCCAGGCATACGTTGCACCCCCGCTCAAAGTCTGACCACCGGGTGTCTTGTCCGAACCTGGCAAAGACGGGGGCACATAAAAGCAAAGATGCGCGTCATGATGCACTCTGTTTTTTGTTGTTGTTTTAAGCAAATGTATTATTCAGTGTTTTTCCATGTTGTATTCCTTTTCTTCGAATCTCTTACTTTCCTCATCTTTCCTCTCTAGATCTCTCTAGTAGTTTTTCCAAAACTTCTTCCTATTATTTGTCAAGAATTGTGCCTGGTCTGTCTCTGGCAGAATAGGCCTTGATAGTCCGCGGCGCTTGAATCAGGGAAACTCTGAACTGAAAGCAAAATCCACAAACGTCAAAACATAGCTGGCAGCCGCCATCTGGCACAAACAAAATGATCTGGAACCAACTAGAAATTAAAAGAGCTTGCTGCATCAGCATTAGGTAAACGTATACTATTATTCACAAAGCAAATGATGTGAGGAGTCTCAATTGACACAAGACTGCTCATATCGTGAGGAATACTGAGAAACAGTGTGCAAAACATTTGTAAATGTAGAAAGGATGTGAACAAATCCAAGCCTTTGTATGAGAAAATGATTCCTAACAACCTCGGTGTGAAGGAGGCCATTGCTCTTAGGTTGGAGGCCATCGCTCTTAGGTTGGAGGCCATCGCTCT